GTGTGTGTGTGTGACTCACATCTTCAAAGCGCAATTCTACACCCACAGAAGGCGCTCAGCGTTGCAGTTGAATTCGGAGGGAGTATTAGCGTGAATATGATCACTTCTGGTAATTAGGAATCGTCTTTTCCAATGAATTCATGCATATGTTCAATTTCTTGAAATCGGTGCATTGTTCACCTGTATCATCGTGTTCGCTTGTCCCCCGTCTGTCATGATTGGAGTGCGTCTGCGCGTAGCACGAGTTGTTGGTCCCTGCGGAGTGTATGCTTTGCTCGTCCCGCCAATTGCTCTGAGCCTTTCTTGTGTTCGCGCTCGCTTGTTCTCGGTCTCATGGCGCCACTGTCTCTCAACGTTTTTTTAAACGAACAGACACACTTAGCCTTTGTACTCGCTTGTGCTTCAACGCCCAGCACGAAGAGTAAATGGTTCTCGATCTTCAGTGTGCATGTCGACACCCACAGAAGGCGTTCAGCGTTGGAGTGAATTCAGAGGGAGTATTAGCGTGAATATGATCTCTTCTCGTAATGAAGAATCGTCTTTTCCGATAAATGTTCAATTTCTTGTAACCGGTGCATTGTTCGCCTGTATCATCGTGTTCGCGTGTCCCCCCACAGTCATGATCATTGGAGTGTGTCTGCGCTTAGCACGAGTTGCTGGTCCCTGTGGAGTGTATGCTTTGCTCGCACCGCCAATTGATCTGAGCATTTCTTTCTTGTCTTTGCGCTCGGTGGTTCTCGATCTCATGGCGCCACTCTCTCTCAACGCTTATTTTAACGAACAGACACTTGGCTATTAAACTCGCTTATGCTTCGGCGCCAAGCATGAAGAGTAAATGGAATTCTCCGCCGGGAATATTTCCGTTTTCCGTAAAAATGATCAGCGCGCAATCTATGTTCCTGATTTATCGTTTTCGTTTTCTTTTTTCCCTGTCCTTTGGAGTTCATTCCTGTATTTTCTTTTTAGGAAAATTTGTACCCCAGAAAGCTCTCGTATATGCTAAAATACCCTAAAAAAGATGTGGGGAGATGGCAACACCCTTCGAAATTTCAAAGGATTTTTTTTCAAAAGCTTGTGAAAATGCCCTTTTGGATTCACATATTTGCGATCTACCCCTGTCAGGTGGAGGCGCACGCTTGCATTCTGCCCCTGACAGGCGTATAGCACAAACACGGCAACCCGTGCCAACGGTTTAAAATTTAAATCGAAGCAAAAGGGCATTTCACAAACTTCTGGAATTTCACATAAACGCCCCTGTGCAAGGATGACAGTCATAAATCCAGAGATGGTCCAAGTTTTATGAAAGGGAAAGAAAATTCAGAGCGGTTTCCACTCTATCGGCATCTTTAAGGGGTATTTTACCGCATAAGTGAACGTTCACGGATATTTTCCAACTTCTTCCCTTTTGCTTTCCTGAAGGACTTTTGTATTATTATAAACGAGCCCAGCGCGCAAGGCAACAATCAAAACATCAATCGAGCTCCAACAGCGACGGACAAGACGGGACGTTAGCGGGTGTAGCCATGGACATCATCTCCACTAACAGCTTTAACATCGAACAGGGAATTACACGTCCTCCATCCGTTAAAATGTTGGCCCTCTCTCCCCAAGAGCAGACAGTAGATGGAACTCACAGAGCTTGACGTGATTCAGAAATCCATACATACATGGACTCAGATGATGGAGTAACTGCACCCGAGTAAGATAATTAAAGTCTAACCCAGTTCGTCCTCGGTGCATTCTTATGAAAAAACTCTGACGTCATAGACCATGAATCGCCCTGACCACCGGTCGCCGTCGCGGCAGCCCTGACCGCCGCTCGGAGTCATGGCCACGACCTTGGCGCGGGCCACGACTTTCGCGGCAATGTGGTGGCCGGAGGGGGTAGGTTCTGGGGTTGGGAGTTGTGGATTGGGGTTCCGGAGCCCGGACCCCACCCCATAGAAACAAAAAAATATAATAAACGATTCTGTTTTTGGGAGAGGGAGGGGGTGTGGGTGAAAAAGGATTTTCAAAAAAAAAAAGATTGATTGATTTTGTGTGTTTGATTGATGGATTGATTGATTTTTTGATTGATTGATTGATTGATCTATTGATTGATTGATTGATTGATTGATTGATTGATTGATTGGTGGGGAAGGGATCGCCCCGGCACACACACACACACACACACATACACTCGCCCCCCGCGCACACACACACACCCACACACACACACATACACCAATGGAACGGACACGCTGCTTTTTTCTTACTTTTTTTTTATTGATTGTTTGATTGATTGGTGGGGGAGGGGTCCCCCACCCCCTCACACACGCCCACACACACACACACATTCACACACACACATACACACGCGAGTTGAACGAACCCATTTATTTATTTTTTACAATAATTCTTTTTTGTCTATTGATTGATTGATTAATTGATTAGTGGACGAGGGGTCACGCCCCCACCCGCCACACACACACACACACACATGGGTCCAATGAACCCTTTTTTTTTTCACAATTCTTTCTTTTTTTTAATTGATTGATTGATCACGCACTTTTTTTTTTTTTTAATGAATAGATGAATCAATCAAGCAATCAAGAATCAAGCAATCAAGAATCAAGCAATCAAGCAATCAAGCAATCAAGCAATCAAAAATTCATTTTTTAATTTTTTGTCAGGCTAATTTAAGCCCAACCAATTCAATTACCTGTCTATTCTGGACAGGATGGCCTTTCAATCATTTTTTATTGTCATTAGGGGGAACCCTGTAGCAGCCACATCCCTGCTAAAGCCTTCAACGAGGGAACATGTGGGAGCTGCGCCCACCAGCAGGTGTGATACCTGCTACAGCAGGTGGGTGATACCGGCCAGGGGTCAGCCGGTAGCATTAGGACCGAGCTTCTTCGATCGGCCAGTCACAGTCCCTCCCCTCCAGTCCGCGCCCCCTAGGATCATCAGCAGTCTCTGCTCAGTGCCACTCCGGGAGACCAACGGCATATCTCTAGGTGCCGCGCGCCAAGCTTGCCCAGGAAGGTGCATGAGGCCAGTGGGGATTGAACCCAAGACCTCCTTAATGCCACTTGTGTGCCTTACCAACTGAGCTAGGCCTCTGGATTCAATCAATCAATCATTATGTGTGTGTCAAAAAAAAAAAAAAAAAAAACAGAAAAGAAACCTGTGTTTTTTTGTGTTTTTTTTAATCTTTTTTTCCTTTGATCTTTGTGTAATGAACCCAGTGTGGCAGATGCTCATCAGTCATCAAGCACCAGTAGTCTCTGTATCCGCAGCAAAGTCTCCAATTATCGTGAAGTGAAAACTGAACAGTGTCTCGTTACCATTAGACGAAGAGAGTGGAGGGGGATCAGACAGTGCAGAAGGTGGAAGAGATGATCAAAGATCACACAAGAATAATCCCATCAAACCCCACTCCTCCAGGCTTCTTCCCTCTACACGTCAACAACCAGTATATAATAACGTGAATAATAATCCTGATCACACAATAGTGTCACGTGGCAGTCTTATCTGGTGAAGACCATGAAGATACAGCAGATTACAGTGACCACCTCAACCTCAGGTGAGTACCCGATCCCAATCATCCACAGATCCCGATCTCCCTCCTCGCAACCAGTCACCTCATGTAGACACCGTGGACAATGCCACGTCAGCAGTTGAGACAGGTGACAAGCGCCACATTATCAATGAAGACCAGTGGCACGCGCCACATCAGCAATGTAGACTAGTGGCAAGCGCCTCATCAACAATGTAGTCCAGAGGCAGCGCTACATCAGCATGCAGTGTAGACCAGAGGCAGCGCTACATCAGCATGCAATGTAGACCAGAGGCAGCGCCACATCAGCATCCAATCTAGACCAGAGGCAGCGCCACATCAGCATGCAATGTAGACCAGAGG